ATTATGTAGCGGAAAATGCAAAATTAGAAAGAATCATACCTGTCAACACAAAATTTGTAATACTTGAAAATACGAAAGCATTAAATAAAATTATTTTAGTATTTTATTTCGAGGTGCAAAAACGCATAAATTGGTCAAGCTTACTTGAAGTACCACCCAATGCCCCTCGACGGCAGAAGTATCCATCGTTTGCTCTGCAATACTTTCTTGACCCTGACCGAGAGATACATTCTGGAAATTTCCGTTAACAGAGCTGATGTTTCTTCTTGCACCACATGCCTCAAGATCGTGCAAAGGATCAACACCTGGACTAAGGATGAAGAGAATTGGAGTTTTGGCATCGCATTCTTTTAGAACACTGTCTAAATCGAAGCTACGACAATTGACGAAACCTGGCCCTAGTATTTCAGAAATAAAATCCCTGCAACGAAAACCATTTCTGTAATTTAATGTTGTACTCTTAAATTCGACTGAAAGTTTATTTTACGGAATATGAAGTCAAATTTCATGCATTATATGCTCAAAATATCATCTCAAGATTTTAGTTTAATTATATGTCATATAATACAACATACGCATTGCTAAAATTGCTGTATGACAGTAAACTGGTAAAACAGATAATAACAATTAGTTCATACCTTATAGCATATACTACTCTATCAGGCCTCAAGCAACGAAGAATGCATAGCTTATGGAAAGGAGTCGATCGGTTTTTCCATTCTTGCGGTAGAGCTTCTTTTTCTGGAAATTCGGAATCAAGAAATTTTTTCCATCGCTTGGGCGATGCCTCCATATCTCTATCCAGACTTTGGAATTCATCCAGAGATGATAAGACCTGAGGGAAACGATATTGTAGCACCCAAAAAACAATCTTTTGTGTAAATTAATGAGATGAAATGTATTCTCAAAATACTTTAAATTAAATTAGTTTTTCACTGAGTAAATAATATCTAAAAATCTTCATGTTAGAGATTTTAGTTCTTGATATTTTCTTCGATTCTAAAAATCGTTTTCCTAAAAGGTGGGAAAGAGAATCCTACTAACCCTAATGGCAGCCCAGGCTTGTGCATTCATAAATTCCACCGGACTTTCAAGATTCGACTCTTCTAAAGTCTGATGCAGCAGAAACTCCGTGACATCAGTGGGGATTTTGTCCCGTAGTCGTAAGATCTGTAAGCAAATTTTTACTTAACATTGAGGAAGTGATAAGAATTTAAAGATACAATATATTGATTAAAGTTAGTAATGACTGCTGGAAACTTTCCAGTTCGCGTTAACGAAACCATTTATCTTGTGAAACACGATTTATAATGTTTATTTCATATTGAAAAACAAATTTCTTTTGAAAAGAAATAAGTTGCAGCATGAATTTTCTGTTCATTGGAGATTGATATAACCATGAAAAATGTTCATGCTTTTTTTCATGTTCGCCGTTTCCTCATTCACTACTTCATTTTTAATTGTAATGTGATTATTATTTCCAAGGAAACCTTCATCACATTTCTAAGGCATTTAAAGACAAAAACACATTTTTAAAGGTAGACATGGATATTAGTTTAATCTTTTTAGAAGCAATATGTAATATGGACAATGATTTATTAATCAATATTATCATAGATAAAATTCAATGCCTATCACTATTCAAGATGGAAAATTATTAACTACTCAATTTTGCTATAGATTTCCAAGCTGTATACTTAAGAGTTTATAAAATTATTCTAGTTGCTCAAAATGAAATCTAGACCTGGAGTATTCCGACTCGCACAAAAATGAGATATGAATAGAATTAAAGGAATTAATCTATCTCCAAGGGAAAAGGCTTAGTAGAATGAGTATCATATTATTCCTTTATTTTTGAATTTATGTTTAATTACTGACAGGGTTTAATATTTTGTTCTCTTTCAAAAGTTTTTGCTATTAATTTTATTTAATTAATTACCCTGATAGTGTTTTGTAACATTTGTTTACTTCATATATTAATACGGTATTAAAAAATAACAAATACTTAAAATACGTTTTTTTAACCTGAGCAAAGTTAAAGCCATTTTCTTCAGAAATTTTGCGAGAACATTTTTATATCTGAAATATGTATATATATTTTTCAGATCACCTAAACTTCCAACGTTTCTCTGGTAAACGCAGTCTTTAATAATGCTCAAGGCTAAAAGGTTTAGTTTAATCATTAATGCGAACAGTCTATTGGATATCCACTTCCAACGCATAATCTGAGAAGCATACTGGTTCGACAGCAAGTGTTACACTGATGGGACATGATTACAACGAACAACAAAGTATAACGAAACAAACCTTATAGAGATTTAATAGATCTACTAAATTTTAATATAAGGAAATATACCGGGGAGATTTTTCACTATAAATTGTTACAAAGATACTTCTCGAGATGACCCTTCCTATCACGAGCACCTCTGAAAGTGACTATGATTTCTGAAAGCATTGATACTGAACACTGTCTTTCTAATACGACCACTTCAAGAAAAAATTGAAATCGTCTAAAACCATGAGTAGGTATCTCATAGGCATTTCACTATACTTTAAGCCCGCAGATCATCAGTTTTAAGCTCAAATAGTTAAATAGGAAATTCGCTATTTCAGGCTATACTTGTATGTGTTTACAAAGGCTCTTTCCGTTAGATCAGAGGTGGCCAACCTTTTCGGAAGGAGCGCCACTATTTGAAAAAAAAAAAATGCGTGCCACTTCCTAATTTTTCAATGTACTAAAAATATAAAAAGGTGAAAAAATGTTATTTATCGGATGATTTTAGGATTTTTAAGCAATTAGCACACTTTTTCATGTAAATCTGAGTAATGGACATTAAAAAAATAGTATAATAAAGTATAGTATAATCAAAAATATATTTGTTTTTATTATACTACACTTTATTATACTATTTTTCTTTATTATACTATAATTTATTATAATAAAAATCATATCTACAACTAGGGTTTTATTGTTAATAAACATTTTTAAAGGTTCAGTTAGTTAGGTTACGTATATCGAAAAAAAAAAAAAAAAAAAGCCTTTGAGGTGTACCTCTAATTGAAGAGATATCTTCCTGAGCAAAATTATATATTGCTACCTTATTTATCAAAACGTTAAAGAGGGGCCGCTAGGGAGCTCAAGGGTTTGAAGTTTCTCAAATAATAACAACTTTGAGGTTTATGAAATAATAAAATCGTTTAAAGGCTTTTCTTCCTGAACAAAATGGTATAGTACAACTTATATTTACAAAATATTGAAAAGGGGATCCTAGGTGCCCGACAGTCGAAAGCGTGTGGCGGGGGGTTCCTGGTATTATAGCAGGAAGTATGCATTTTTATATATTTTCTGAAGCATAAAATATAATAATTTCAAAAATGTAACTTTAATTTCTCAGTTGTTTCCAAGTGTCTCATTTGTTAACATTTTTTTATCTTCCTGAGTTGCATTTCCTTGCAACATTATACTACTTCAGTCAGAGCATGATACGGATTACTCATGCAGTGTTATATTTGCTAAATATTTTGATAAACTAATGATATTGAATTTAAATCATTTTCAAAAGCTTTTTAAACATGTTTTACATAAGTGTGTTCTACTGGGTGGCATTATTAAAGTGCCTAAAAACATAAATTTTATGCCTAAAATTTTAAATTTGTAGAGAAATTTTAGAATTTTTGACTTCAGATTTACATAACTATATTCAAGCACCCATTCCTATAGACACACATCAAAAGTACACAAAACTAAATTAAAAAAAAACAAATAATGTCTTAGAGGGGCAGTGGTATACCGGCCCTCAAAATTCAGAATTTCAGTCTAGACGTTTTTTGAAGTCACAATTGTGAGTTCCTAGAGTCCATAAGTTACAATTCACGCAAAATTTTACTCCGATTTAAATTCTTTTATATGCCTGGAAAGGTTAACTGAAGTTCAAGCCTCATCCGGTATAAACTCTCATTTTCGTTACTTGCTGCACTTCGCTATGATATTTTTTCTTTCTTGCAACTAATAATAAATATGTTTCTACAACTGAAATGTGCTTTTCATGTTCTCAGTTTGGATTACCTGTTAATGATGTAATAAATTTAGATTCTGCTTTAATATTTTCTCTTCGCCAGTTAGATGAAAAACAAATTAACTGTGCGTTCCTTCAACATGATTTTGAGATAGAGTGTATGTTTACTTCATCAGAACGCATAAAACATATCGAGATAAGCTGTTAAGAATAAAAAATTAAAAGAGAAAGAACTTGTTGCCATTGGATATCGGGAAATCCAAAGCCTGTCTTCGAAAAGCGCAACAAAACTAGTATATAGTTATGTACTGAGCGTTTGAAAAACAAAAGCAAGAACAGGCCCTAGCTTCGAAAATAAATACTCAGTTGAGAAATTAAACAATAATAACTATCAACTATGAAAATACAAACTAGAAATGATTCTGAAAAAGAGAAACGTATGGGATTTAAACGCAAATAATACATCAAAAGAAATCACAGCTGAGTGGATAGAGTGGCAACTTAACAAGCACAAGCTGCCGTGAGTCTACTCATAGATGGCAATCAAGTCGTACAGATAAGATAAAAAAAATAGCCAGAGAAATATGGAATGAATTAAAGAAAATTCACGAAAGAAAAAATATCTCCCCAACAAACTTTACCTTCTCAGAACACTGTGCAAGTTAAAAGCAGAAAACGAATACAAGATCGAAGAAAAACGCTCGAGATCATAAACGAACTGTGAATCTGGGGAAAAATAAAATATTACATTTAGATCAGACTTTCAGAAAAAACTGAATTTTGATAGTAAGTGTCTGCCTGTGTATACTAGTAACTTGTCTGCCTGTTTATCTTATGCATAGTTTCCATACAATTCGTTCTACTTACTAAGTTACTAGTTTGATACTAGTATAAATGCAGCATTATTGACTTAGCACACTATTTGATTCGTACTGTTATCACTGATTTTCATTTGTGAAATGCTTAACGATGCTAAGAAAATTTATCTGCCACATTGCTTCATGACATAAAAGTTGTCAAGGCTTAGCATTTTAAAGAGTACATTTGGGATCATGAGTATATTTTGCTTGTTATTTCGCTGCAGCTGAGCAGCTTACGGCAGTGAGGAATACGCCAAGATTTGGTAACTTGAAAAGCTATCTGGTCTTTATGGTGCTTTGTCATTATGATTATGGGTGGCACTATTCAGTATCAAAGGAATAAAGAAGAACCATTTCTTTAATTACTTTGCATTTCATCTGCTGGGTTTCTACTTGGTACCTCTTAAAAGGTGATAAGTCTGTCGTTAGGAGCTTGCTGAAATATATGGACAATTCACGAAATATAGTCGTGTGCAAAACTAAAGCAACAAATTCATTTTTCAATTTTATAATTGATGCGATTAGAGCAATGAAAAGCCAACTCAATATAAAGGTAATGATTATACAGATATCAGCATCATGACGTCAGGGCCACAAAACGCGAGAAGTCAGCAGGCGGAGTACGAGGCAACTTAAAAAGAAGAAAGGAAAGCGCGTTTCCAAGCATTCATCTCTAAATGAAAGTAGATTGTACGTGAGTTACAAGAAAACATCAGGATGCCTTTGCACGTAGGGTAGTACAAAGGCTTTGACGGGTGTAGTTCCTGTTTATTGTCCAAGTGTCCAGGTGTTTTATGAGCTTGGAAATCTTCCACAGGACATGTACAGTTGTAAAAAAGGGGATGTATGGAGAGGGGTTATGATGAACAGTCAGACAGAGCTCATCATTTTTTACAGTGTTTCATACCAGAGATAGTTACAATGATGAAGTTATCCTTTTCCACGTGCGTCCTTTCCTCCCGGCTTCGTTTTCATAGATGATAATGCACGGTCACACAGGACTCAGGCTGTTGAGAAGCTCCTGGAAAGTAGAGATTTCCACTGAATGGATTGGCCAGCTTACTGCCCTGATATAAATTTCACTTAATATGTATGGGACACTTGAAAATGTAAGGACATGTATGGAGACGTCTGGAGGCACGATTTTAGCCTCCAGAGAACAATAGACAACTGAAATAGACGCTCCATGAAGAATGGGAACTCTCACAACAAGAACTGTTAGATAATCTGGTGCTGAGTCTTTATAGACGGTGCAATGTAACCATTGTAGTTAGTGGAAGTCGTACTAAAGCTTGTTGTTCTCCCTTTTGGCCAGGCAGTTTTTTGTATCAACGCCATTCTGCCAATAAAGCGTTTTTCGGTTCGTTCCATACTGTATGCGTCTTATTCATGTTTTTGCTACTATTCTCGTCCTTTGAGTACTACATTATACGTCTGCGGTATGGATTTTGTGATTTCCAGTTGATTTTGTGCGGAATTACGGCCAAAATCAGAAAAGTTGCTTACGTTTCGCACACTAAGATCTGGTCAAAGGAAAGAGTTAGAATGAAAAAATACTAAAAATAGAAGACTACCTGAAATGTCAAGTGAGCTGCCAGGACTATCTTGTCATTTTCGAAGAGACCACGACTCACATAATTGAAAATAGCAAACGTAACGTCATCAACTAAGGCTTTCACTCTGATCTCAACATTTTCTGACGCTTGGCAACGATCGATGGCTTTATGGAAGACTTCTTTGATCGCCTACAAAAAAGAACGTAATTTGTCAAATACCGAACTCTGGGCTTTATGCGTGGTTTACTTAAAACAAGTAAAGCGTAAGCTAAATATAAATGCTACTTTCTAGTTTATTGGTTAATATTTAATTAATTATAAAAAGATTATAGCCATCGCACTTTTACAAATAAGTTGGTATTATTTATATTTTCATATATGAAAATACGTTCGGCTATTAAAATAAATCTCAATCAATTTTTAACGTTCTCGATTTTATCACGAATGTATTGTTACAGTTTAGTAATTGCAAAATATCTCATCATTATTTATACTTGAAATTTAATTGACTAATACAAGATTTTAATTGTTATCTTTATTCACTGTCCGCGTCTTTTCTATAAAGCTGAAATTATGCAAAGGAAATCATGAGATAATCGTTTTAAGATGAGAACTTTTCAATATATTACTAAAAGGATATTTCCTTAAAAGACATATTCAGTAAAATCTGGCTAAAAACATTAAGGCGTGCTCGATTAATGAAGAGTTTAAAATGATCAGGAGTATACTTAAAGGAAAATCATGTCTTAATTGGAAGTAACTTAAAAAAAAATGTCTCTTGCGACGAAATGAACATTGCTACTTACAAACCAGTCTTTAAGACAGCTCCACGTGCCGATTTAGTTAATATAGCTAAATATCTAGGCAAGTATATGACTTACAGTAGAAATGGCTTCATTAATAGGTGTTCATCCCCAGATTTATTTCTAAATTATCCACGAACAGATGCGAATTCATTAAATTATAAAAGCAACATAATTAACCAATTTTTTAATATTATAAAAGCAATCTTAAAATGAAAAAAATCAGGTAAAGTGTAGACTAAGAGTTAATAATGAGATACGAGTCACCAAATAAAAAAAAACAATTAAAATTTTTTCTCATCCCTGTCCATAAAGATTAAATATATTTTCGTCTCATCAAATATTTGAATTAGTACGTTTGTGAAATTATTTGTAGCTTTCAATTAGTTAACTTCACTTTTATATGGAAAAATTATGAGTCCTTTATTCATAATGTATCCCGTTTCTCCTAACAGTTTGTATCGCTTCGAGGTAAAATAAATGAGAATGCAGTATAATATAAATTCAGCAAAACCATGTTTATAGAAACTTATTTAATGTTCGAGTTTCGCATTGAATGAAGGAAATATTTCTCACTTTTGTAGTTTCGAGTTTCAGGTAAGATATGGACATTTGTATTAGAAGCTTTTTTTCAATTAGTACGAGCATGTAAAAGTAACCAGCTATCTTCTTAAAACATTGATATTAAGCAGCATGATTTTAGAATTTTTCCGCAGTGCATAAGGCAATATCGAGTCAATGCTATGACAATATTCAACCATTCCCCTTCCCCACTATTCTTTATCTACCGGTTCTGTTCTACAATATCAAGGCAAAAGTTAAATGACGCTTCTAGCTTAAGGTTAATAATAAAGAATTTTATGGGAGAACTATAATTAAAATCATATTCATTTTAATTTTAAGTATCTTTGATTAAAATGCTATTACTACAATTCTTTAAAATACACCTTTTGTTTATAAAATATCAACAAGCAAGTTGAAGAAAACTAGGAAATTTTCCGCCTTAGAGGAACGGATATTTTATGCAAATAAATGATAGTATTTAATATCTACGTAGAAATAAAACGATACTGTTACAAAATGTACAGGCGCGGTAAGATGGCTTCCCCACAAAGCAGTTTTAGGGTTGCCACATTTGACGACAAAATTGGCGCTATCCCATGGACTGACGGAACATTCGAAGAATTCTTACTGGTTTAGCCCAGAATGTTCTCGAACACAGTGAAAGCTATATAAACTGCTGCTCGCGGAGAGTAGTTACGAGTGTGTCTTGATCGAGTTGTGTGTTCGTCTAGCGAGTCAATCCCTGCGAGTCGATCGAGTTGACACCGCAGCGAGTGCGGAGTGGGTCGTCGATCACGAACTCTTAGTGTATCTGGATGCGTCGAGAGCAGTGTTAATGCTCCAGGAACGACTAACGAATCGTCGGGAGCTGTGCTCTGCGTGTCGCGAGCATCGCGAGTTGTGCGTGGAGAGTCTCGAGAGTACGTGGAGTTCCGAGAACGAGGAGCGAGTCGAGCTGTACTCTGGTGCTTGCAGTGAAGCAGTTCTACTGTGATAGCCTGATAACCTGAAGGCTGTGTCGCTGATTGTGTCAAGCGTTTATAGTAGTTTTTCACGACTGTAACGTGATTTGGCTGTCTGAGAATATTGGACTAAGGTGTTTCGATACTATCAATGTCGTCGTTATTCACTCCAAATTAAAACCCCGTAGAAGGAAGAAAAAACGTACCTGGTGTCAGAATACGAAAAAAAAAAAAAAAAAAAAAAAAAAAAAAAAAAAAAAAAAAAAACAATACTAAAAACGATTAATTTTACATGGAGTTGCAATAAAAAAAACTATTATCAACAATGTACTGTTCCATAGAAAAAAATCTATGTGTATTTTATTAGATAATGGTATTGAAAATTGATTACCTTCAAAGAAAATAAATACATAGAGCTAAGGGTGGAGAGATCTTGCACCACGAAATATACAAGTGCAGCCCTATCAGCGACATCCCGATATATTTCTCGCGCAGCGTTGATCTCGGCTTCCGTACGTTGACTTTCCAAAGATTTCTCTTGGATTTCGGCTGCCATCGCTTTCGTCGATTCTAGACTTTCCACCAAAGTGACATCACCTACAAGGTTCCCTTCAGCTTGTGAAAGTCGGGATAGAAGACTTTCTTCTAAAGACTTTAAAGTTATGGCAAACTCATTCTGTTCTTTAGTCAATTGAGCCTGCAGCAGACAGAAAGTAAATTCAGTGGATTACTCATATTTATCGAAATTGATTTTATATTTTATAATCTATGGAAAAACAATAGGAATCTATAATAATATTATTATTTTCTTTCTTAGGAATAGTCTAATAGTAATCGAAGCGTATAATTTTTCTGATTCTGAAAATGTTCATAAAGAGAACATCTTTGCAATGTCCGCGTCAACGCAAAGGATATTTTTATGTTGAGATATAAAGACATGTTTTAAGGTACTTAATAGCTCCAAAAGAAGAAATAATATAGAATAAAATTTATAGCTGACTTAATATACCCAAATTAAAAAAGAGATTTAGTTATAAGCACATGTATGGAAAATGAACGCATACAAATTGAAGTCTAACTTTTTATTTGGGGAAAGGTTCTTCTTTAATGAATGACGTTTTACTTAAATGAAGAATATATATTATTAAATTTAAAAGTCTTGTTGTTTGTAAATAGATTATATATGTGATTTATCAAGTTTGGTACAATCAAATTAAATGGGTTAGTAGAAATAGCCTACCCCCTGCGTATAAGGCAGAACACATTATGTTATTTTGGGGCTCTTTACTTTCATTATTCTGTAAATTTTTAACACAGATCTCTAGTCATGCTGAATGAGTAAACGTGTATTTATTTTATAAGTCTCTAACGAAAATTAAAATTATAAATATTATGTGGAAAGAAAAGTTGTGAATTTGAAATTTAAATTAATTGAAATCCTTCAATTTTGGATTGGCGTGGATTTAAAAAATCAATAACAATCCAAAGATAAATTTTACTTGAATTTATATTAAATGCAAGCTTTTATAAATATGAAAATATCTGATTTCGAGGAATGTTTGAATGATAACGCTTTGCTCATAATTACGAAAACATTTAGCGGAAACCTAAGAACGACAGGAAACTCTGAATTACCGCAATTACTAGAATGAGGATATAATAAGCTTGTTTTGTAATTAATTCTATCTGAGTTATTTATAGCTGGGAAAATGAAACTGGTAAGTTCCGCACTGAGAAATATTATTTGAGAGCTTATCATATAAAGAATTCAAGGGGCATTTCTAGCAGTTTCCTCAAGAAAGTGTTTGGCTATTGGTACTTCAATGTAAATCAATAAAAAGGAAAATAAATAGACGTATATTGCATTTTTACATAGTTTATTTTCTCTCTAACTAAAGGGTCATATCACAGAAAGTTTCATTTAGTCCTTCCGTTTACATTTCCTATTTAGAGCTAGCCTAACAAGCCGTTTGTTACGTTATCAGAAGCTAGCGATGCAGCTATAAACAATGTCAGTTATTTCATTAATAGATTACATTAATAGATAATATAAACAATGTCAGTTATTTCATTAATAGATTACATTAATAGATATTAATAACATTAATAGATGTCATGAGGCATTGTGTAAGCACTGGAAAGCTTAAGAATTAATCTACTCGCTAATTAAACGACGGGGGATGTAACTTTACGCATTTCAAAATTTTGATTAATTTTAAGCTAAACAATTAACCTGCTTATAATTTATATTTATATAGTCACACATGTATTACATGGAAATTTTGTAAAAGTTATTACTATATTCTAGTTTATTTTAAAATTTAGATTAAATGTATACCTTTGATTGTTCCAAATCGGGTCTTTCTTTGGAGACGACCTCAGCCAGCAACTGATCCGCCAAGCCTTCTGGAGTAACTCCGAAATTAATTATTGTTGTCTGAGCTTGTATTTCTGGTCCAAACCGTGGATTACTAAGCTTGGTATGAAGAATGAGGCGAAAGTCGGGATGAAAGGGTATTTCTTTTGTTCCTAGCTTGATGGCTCTGAAATTTTAAAAGTATGAAGTTGGATGCACAAGTGTTCAAAAGAGATGGTTGCAAGCCTTATTCCTGCAAATATTGAACTTAAAAACATATTCCCAATTTCAAAGACTCTCAAGCGGGGAAGAGAATTTCATGAAACGGATTTCAACGCATTAATTAAAACAGGTTTGTAAACATAAAACGGAATGCTCATTATGTTTCACAAGTTGGATATAACTAGTTTCAGACTTTTGCGAACAAAAGGTTTGAGGCTTAAACCGTTTTACAACAATACAATGCTACTTTAACCGTTTTACAACGAACTAGAAGGTACTTCATTTAAAGCTGTGCCGCAAATTGAAGAATACATAATGTTTTGTCTATGTTACTATTTAAAGTGGTTCACCAATTTCTAAATTGTTTACGTTAAATGTACGAGGCTAAAAAATGATACCTTGTGTGTGTGGGGGGGGTAGGGTGAATTCTTCGAAAGCAAAAGGAAGTTGATTGATTTTTTTTCCGAGGAACATAATATCTTTTCTTAGACTATTGATTTATTGAGCTTTATTCGTAGTGATGTTTTCTAGATCAGGCGTGTTTTACAGCTGAGGCATGAGTTTATCGAAATGGGTCTGTCTTGTCCAAAATGAGTAGACAGGAAGCTCCAGCAGGTCTTGGGGTAAGTGTTTTGCAGGTCGGTGTAACTTTTATATGTGAAATTATCTAAATTCTGCCGTTACTGAAACTTTTACCTAAATTCTAAAACTTTTATCGTTTTCTATGGCCGAGAGCAGACGCTGGGTTTCACTGGCCCTGAGGAATTCTGAAGAAGCTGTATCTGTTCACTGTTAAAACTCCTTTCCGAGTTACGAAAACTAATTTCCGTTGTGCTGTACCAAAATGATGAATAATCGAGATTCTGTTCTTTGAAACAACCGTGTACGTTAAGATCCATCAAAACATTATCTAGACGTTCATTCTCTTACTACAAAAAAATGAAGCTCACTTTTGGATACAGCAACATGGCAAAACAAATGTTATTTCGACCGTGAGATTTGATGTTTCAGAATGAAGTTTCAGATCAAAGAAATATTAGGAAACATGCGTTGAATTAACAGTTGAAGACTGCACTGACCTCTCTCGATGTGAAATTGAATTTCTTCTAAAATAATATGCTCAAATGCATTTCAAAAATGAACTGATTTAAATTTCACGTTCTTTACAAGAAAAGTTTGCACTAATCTGCGTAAAATCGCATCATGCATTGTAATCCAGTTTCATGTATGTGGGAGTCATCAACATCCAATGCCGAATTAGAATACCAGATGACGTCATTAGTACAGCCCAGCGCAGTAAGAATCATCCCAGACAGCGCTGAGACCTGGTCGAGAGTGGATGGCAGACGTGAGCAGACGGCTCACACGTCTTCAAGAATTTATGAACTTTAATTGTGCTTTCGATGTTATGCCTTTACATCATTATGTTAATCCTGCATACCGTTAACTTCATCTTTATTTACTTTTATTTCTTTCTATTAAATAAACCATTTAACTATTACTTCGTGCTCTCATGCTGTGAATTAAGTCAAATTCTACAAAAAAAAAAATATGGCGACCAACCGTGCGGCCTCGAATTCCAAAATGTGCGAGTACTAGAACTGTGCTTTGAACTGTGTATTGAACTGATTGAGTAAACTGCTCTTACAAGTTATTGGATTTATTGGATTACTATATTAAGTGTGTGGATTACCCCAATTAAAGACGATCATCGGTCGGGTGAGTACAAAACTTTCTTTCCAATATGAAGTTAATAGAAATCCCAGAATTGGAAACAGCTCTAAAGAACAGTAAAAGTTCTGAAATCAAAAGTTTGCATAAGCTTATTTTTAATACTGATGGAGATCGAAATAACCGGAAAAGATTACGTGAATTTTCTGGCTTTATATTTAAACCAGATTCTGAAGAATTTAATAAGAAAATAGATGCAGTGCAGAATAGTTTTACTTTGAATGAGTTAATTAAAGTTTGCAATGTATTGTGCATAAATTCAGAAGGTTCAAAAACGGAAGTCGTAACCGAATTGTCTCTTTCCTATGTGATTTATCTGTATTCTGAAAATATTTTCATGAAGAAAATAGTGATATTGAAGATGAAACTATTAATAAAATTTCTGAAGTAATGCTTGATGATAATCAAAGAGACAATCCTGGTTTTAACGAGTCTCAAGTAAATAACAGTATGCAGCTTCCAATTCAAGATCATTTTAAACCTCATCTTAGTTTTTCTGATATTGAAAGTATTGTTAATCCTTTTTCTGGTAATGCATATGAAAATGTTGATAAATGGATTGATGAATTTGAAGATGTTATAAAACTCTTTGAAATTGAGTGATTTGCATAAATTAGTTTTTGCTAAAAGATCATTAAAAGGTAAAAGCGAAATATTTATTCAGAGTGAACCTAAAGTTAATGACTGGTGTAAGTTAAAAAAGCTTTTGAAATCTGAATATGGTAAAGCTTTTAATTCTGCTGAGTTGCATGAAATGTTATGTAAACGTAAATTAATGCCTAATGAATCCTTTAGATGAGTATTTTTTGAAAATGAAAGAAATGTGTTCGCGAGGTAACATTGAAGATGCTTCATTAATTAAATATGTTATTGATGGTATTCCCGATTCTGTGGTTAGGAAAACTATACTATATGGTTTGCGAAACAATATCTGAATTTAAACAAAGGCTTAAAATTTATGATAAAATGAGATCGGACAATGATAAGTTTAAAAAATCCGAAACCGAAAGTAACACTCAAGTTTAAAGATAGAAGTAAGCTTTCGTCATCAAACCGAAATCAATCTAACGTTAATAAGGTCAAATGTTTTAATTGCCAGGAATTTGGGCATTATTCTAAGCATTGTGTAAACAAATCAAAGGGTGTAAAATGTATAAAATCTAAGAAGTTCGGGCATTATTCAACGGACTGTCCAGATCAGACCACCGAGACACATCAAGCAGCTTTATTACAACGAATTTCCGACAAGGATAGAATTATGAAGACTGTAGAAATAAATAATCATTTAGTTGATAGTTTAGTTGACACTGGTTCAGATGTAACGATATGCAGCGTAGAGTTATACAAGCAGATTGGTTCTCCTAATTTAAATTGTAGTGATATCACATTAAACGGAATTGAATCAAAACAAACGTACCCTATCGGCTTTTTTATTTCTGATATTTCAATTGATAGTTTTTCACTGCGTACGAAAATTTATGTTGTTAAGTCATTATGTAATCAAATTGTATTAGGTTTGGATGTATTGAGTCAGTTTAACTTCTCTTTTACTGAGAATGGCCTTCAAATAATTTCTCATCGGAATAAAAGTAATGTAAACTTGATAACTGCTGAGTCATATCGAAATTCTAACGTTCGTTGCGTTATGGGAAATTTGAATATTGCTGTCTCATTGAAGAATGTTTATGATCCTTCGCGATCGTCTGGCGTCTCTGTTAATGTAAACAAAAGTCCCGAAAGCGGAAGTAGCTCGACGTTTAATTACCTTTCACATCTGGTGAATGCTATTTCTGTCAACGAGATTGATTTATCGCATATTTCAAATGCAGAACATAAAGAAAGACTGTGTGTAATTTAATTAATTCGTACCAGCCTCGGAAAAATAGACAATCTGACTTCAAGATGCAAATAAATTTATGCGATGATATTCCTGTCTGTCAAAATAGAAGATACATGTCTTTCGCGGAACAAAAAATTGTTGACGATCAAATTAAGGAATGGTTGAAAGAGGGCATAATAAAGCCTAGCAATTCTAATTATTCGGCGCCTATTGTTTTGTGTAACAAGCGTAATAATTCGAAACGTTTATGTATAGATTATCGGAAATTGAATAAGAAGATTATTAAAGACAAATTTCCACTGCCTTTAATTTCGGAAGTACTTGATCGCTTAAAACAGTCAAAAGTCTTCACGACACTAGATTTGAGAAATGGCTTTTTCCATGTAGACATAGACGAAAATTGCACCACCAATATACCGCATTTGTAACACATAATGGTATCTACGAATTTCTTAAAGCTCCTTTTGGTTTATGTATTAGTCCAAATGTTTTTCAAAGGTACATTTATTCAGTATTTCGTGACTTGCTAAATGAAGGTGTACTAATTATTTATATGGATGATATAGTCATACCGGCTAATGATGAAGTTGAATGTTTAGACAAATTAGAAAGAGTATTCAAAACTGCTTCGGAGTATGGATTACAAATAAATTTCAAAAAGTGCCAATTCTTAAAACGTAAAATTGAATTTTTGGGACATGTAATTGAAAACGGAACTATTCGACCATCACCTTCCAAAACTGCTGCTGTTCGAAACTTTCCACAACCGCGTAACTGTAAACAACTACAAAGCTTTTTAGGACTAACGGGATATTTTCGTAAATTCATTCCTCAGTATGCTAAAATAGCTAAACCTCTTAGTGACTTACTTGGAAAAGGTATTGGTTTTAAGTTCGATTCCGAACAACAGGAAGCTTTTTGCAGATTAAAAGAAATTCTCTCTCAGGCACCTGTTCTACACATATTTAGGCAAGGATATCCATTAGAACTTCATACTGATGCTAGTAGTCAAGGCTTTGGTGCGGTATTACTCCAATTGTCTGATGATGGTAATTATCACCCAATCCAGTATATGAGTAAGAAGACTTCACCGCAGCAAGAGAAACTCTGTAGTTACGAATTAGAAGCTCTTGCAGTAATAGAAGTTCTGAAGAAATTTCGAAACTATTTGTTAGGGACTAAATTCAAAATTGTAACTGATTGTAGTGCTTTTCAGAAAAACTTTAGATAAGAAAGATTTAAACTCCTAAAATTGCAAGATGGGCAATGTTTATTGAAGAATTCGATTACGAAATTGTACATCGTTCAGGAAGCCAAATGAAACATGCTGATGCTTTAAGTAGAAATGCTTTAATTTTAACATCATACACATCCGATGTAACTGAGAAGATTCG